CCGCACGCAACCTTGCTCCCAACGCATCCGCTCTCTCTCAGGCGCAGGGTGGGCGGCACGCGCGAGCTCTCACGACGCACGCACGTACACGCAGCAGGCCAGCAGACACGTACACGCACGCCCCCGGTACGCACTGTACTTCGCTCGTTTTTCAACTCTTCTGCCCCTTCTTCTGCTTCTTAGCTGATCTCACCGTTCTCACTCTTTCTCACGTTCTATTCGGCCGTACAATTCGATCTATACATGACTGTCCCCGTTTTATACTCTTCGTCTCCTCCTGACGGGTTCTCCCGCCTCTTATAAGGCGGCCGCCACACACACCCACCTACACGCACACACACACACACACACACACTACAAACACACACCGTGACACTTCAGACGTTACCCACGGACAACAGCACGCACACTCAAACACGGCAGAAGGCGCTATCTACACACACCACACACGAACACGGTTCTCTGACACACACACACACACATCACACAAACGACCACACACAACCTACACACAGTCTACAGTGTAGAACCACTCAGCGCATCCAAGTCGGGCTGCGGAACACAACTGGGGGGAGATTCAAACACCGAGCATCGCCCAGTCACACACACACACACAACACCCACGCTTCCGGACGCGAAACCGTTTTGCCATTCTAAAGACGGCCTTCCGATCGTGTCCATGGTTTGTACCATTCGTACATCTATCTCCAGTCTCTTCTTCCCTGCCCCAGTTCGCTGTCTCTCTTCTCCTCCCTCTCTCTCCCTTATCTCTCATTCCTCTCTGGTCTACTCTTCTCCTTCTCTCTCATCGTGTCGTTCTCTCTCTCTCGTCTGCTCGTTCTCTTCCTCTTTTTTTTCGGCATAATCCCTTTGTTCTCATTCTCTCTCTCTCTCTTCTCTCTATCTTCTCTCTCTCGTCTCTCTTCTCTCGTCGTCTCATCTCTCTCTCTTCTCTTCTCTCTCATCTCTCTGCTCTCTCTTCTCTCTCTCTCTCCCTCATCTTCTTCTCTCCCTCTCTCTCTACTTTCTCTCTCTCTCTCTCTCTCTCTCTCTCTCTCTCTCTCTCTTCTCTCTTCTCTCTCTTCCCCTATCACTCCTCTCTCTCTCTCTCCTTCTCTCTCTGTCTCTCCTCTTCTCTCTCTCTCTCTCTCTCTCTCGTCCTCTTTCCTCTCCTCTCTCTCTCTCTCTCTCTGCTCTCTCTCTCTCGTCCCCTTGTGACTTCTGCCTCATTATATCTCCGCTCTCCTCTCTCCGCTCAACTGGAAAGAAGAAGCTCGCAGAGAAAGAGATGTCTGATCACGAGGGTCTGTGAAGGAGAAGTCGAGGGATGAAGGCAGGCGACACAGGACAGGGAAGAGGAGGGCGGTTAGTAATGACATCGGGGGAATGTAGGCGGAGGAGGAGGCGAGGTGAGTGAGCCGGGAGGACGGAGCGAGGCTAGGGAATGCTGCGGGGACTGAGTGGTGGAGGAGTGTCTCGGGGAGTTAAGACAGTTCGTATAGTGGGTGTTTGTCACCTCGCCCACGGACGTAAAGTCTCGCTGAGTAAACGGGTGGAGGGAGGATAAGTCGGTATGTAATCGGTCCTCGTGCAGTTTCTGCATTTCTGCTGCTGCGTTCGTGATGTGCTGTGCGTGTCGTGTGCTGTGTGGTGTGTGGTGTGCATGTGTGTGTGTCGATTGTGTGTGTGTGTTGTGTTGGTGTGATGTGTGTGCTGTGTGTGGGTGCGTGCTGTGTGTGTGTGTGTGTCGTAGTGGTTCGCTGCGAAGTCGATTCAGATCGCCTTTATTAGGTTAGAGGACCCAGCACGACGCGTATTTTTGTTCGCCCGGATCGCGTGCGAATTTTTAAATCGCCTCGAAAAATTCGCCCGTAGCTGCCCGTTTCACGTCGACGCCGATATTCGTACGCCCGTACGAATTCGCCCGTTATCAAAAATGTTAGATATTTTCTGGGACCGATTATTTGACGCCGGCGATTATGGGCGATTATTTACGCTGGCAAATTTCGCTCGTTGTTCCCGTGCTCTCGGCGTATTGTGTCAGAGGCGCATCGATTTTTTTAAACCAATCGGACCAGGTGTTTGTTGATATCACCTGTGATGTTCGCTGGTTGAACTCGTGTTCATGTGATGTGTGTGTTCCGATCGAGTGGCGTTACGCGTACGCTCTCAAATTATCGCTACACGTGCTGCCCCTTCGTGACTCGGGGCGTATAATTCGCTTGGCCGAGTTTAATCGTCGCGATTCCGGGCGAAAAATACGCTCCGTGGCCCCCCAGCTTTACATATATGTGGTAATACATATTTACCATATATATATTACATTACTATTACACATACATGTTACATTAGCTATACCACATTACATGTTACATTGCTGGCGAGCGTATGAACTCTCCCGCTGCAGTGCCTCTGTCTGAGTTCGTGGTCTTAATATGCGCGCTCTCATGCGTGTTATTGATTGTCCATGACATACCACGACTGAAGCTCGTTACCCCATCGGATGTGTGATCCGTCGTTATTTTGATAAGCGAGAGAGAGAGAAAGAGAGGGAACGGGAGGCGAGAGAGGGAGAAAGACGAGAGACAAAGAGAGAGAGAGAGAGAGAGAGAGAATACACACACATGTGACACACGCACCACGCGCACACAACTACGCACACACAACGCCCCACAACACACGACACACACGCACACGAACACGCACAGTCGCACACCACATTACACACACACGCGTGCGCGCACAACACACACGCACACACGCGACACACACGCCACACACACGCCAGCACACATTACAACACCACGCTGCCGTGCGCGCCAGCACACACACGCACAGCACGCACAGCAGAGAGAGAGAGCAGACAGACCAGAGATACGCGAGAGAGCGTCGGGAGGAGACCCGTGGAGCGTGAGCGGAAACAGAACAACAGCGAGGAGATGATAGAGATAGACAGAGACGAAAAGAGAGAGAGGAGATGAGAGAGCACTGGGAGAGATGAGGGATAGAGAGAGATAACACGAGCAGAGATAGAGAAGACCGCGGAGAGAGGAAAGGAGAGAGACAGAGGAGCGGATGAGAGACAGAGCAGAGAGAGAGAACGATTGCCTACGCACGAGAGCGGAGCCGAGAGGAGAGCCGGACAGACGAAAGAGAGAGCACGAAGAATCTGGTCCCCCACTGTGACAGAGTGAGAGAGGAGCAGAGGCCTGATAGATGAAAGAAAGAGACGAGAGAGAGAGACTGGAGGACTGGACGTGGAGAGACGGACGATGGTTCGGAGATGTCCGGGTAGGAGTTCAGAGAGAACGAGAGAGAGAGCAGAGGGAGCCGACGAGTGAGCAATAGCTACACACGTTCGTATCAATAGCTACACACTCCGCATTCATTCAACTCTCTGAGTCGCTCTTAAAATCAGCCGAGCCAGAAGTATATTAGGACTAACGAACTCCCAGTTAATCTAAACAAACACTCGCTAGCAATAAACACTAAAAACCCTTACCAGCCAACGAAGCCCGTACTCTCTCCCTCTCCCTCTCTCACTAACTAACAGAAATTCACTCTCTCTCTCTCTCTCTCTCTCTCTCTCTCTCTATAAATATACTTATATATAGTACCGTATATATATATAATATATACTCTGCTGTCTGTCTGATCTCTCTCTCTTTCTCTCTCTCTCTCTCTCTGTCTGTCTGTCTCTCGTCTTTCCTCTCGCTCTCATCTCTCTCTGCGCGTCTCTCTCTCTCTCTCTCTCTCTCTCTCTCTCTCTCCCTCTCCCTCTCTCACTAACTAACAGAAATTCACTCTCTCTTTCTCTATATATATATATATATCTGTGTCTGTCTGTCTCTCTCTTTCTCTCTCTCTCTCTCTCTGTCTGTCTGTCTCTCTCTTTCTCTCTCTCTCACTCTCTCAACAGAAGTCAACACAATAAGAATTCATTTAAAGTTAATTTTAATAATTTTAATTACAATCACTCAAAAATATTATTTAGAATTGAAAATACACCCAAGCATATGTATTTTGGCATTTCATGGCGGCCATTTTGAAAATATGCAAATGAGGTAATTATGTAATGACATTAAATGTTAGCTTAATCGGTTGCTCATGGTTTTTTGTTTTTTTCGCACGCACGCACCATACATACGCACATTTACTGATGCGATATCATATCCCTGCAAACAATATTTGCAGTTTCTCTGTTTAGGATATTACGAGCGATTTCCTATAGATGAACGGAGAAGAGCTTAGTAACGTTTGTTAGAAAGATGGAGAAGAATTAACTCACTATATTACGTATTTTATCTATCGGTTGAAACGTGGACCGCAGGTGCATATAACTGCGACCTCGCGTATCGCCGTGTATAGCGGTCATGCATACATGTTTAGAAATACCTATAAAATATATACGACATTCTATTAACTTCATCGTTGTTACTCGCCGCAATCCCCTAGGAATGCATCAAGTTGGACCTTGCCCTCGCAGCGTCACACCTGCATGGTATATGTAATATAGGCGTTGTCCCCGCTCCCACTGTGCATATATATATACCGCTTTTTTTCAAACTGCGTCGTTTATTGGCCGTAAATTTTTTCCACCCGCGTAAGGTCGTTGACGTTTGTTTGTACGCCAACGCAGTAGCGATATGGATTTATGAGTCTCATACGAGAAGGCATATAGTTGCTGCAAGTGTGTGGTGCCAGCACTAATATGTGCAATGCCATCGATAGCTCATGTTACAGCGGCAAACCTGACGGAAACTACCGCGTATGATAATATGGGTCAATATAGTTGCATCCGGAAGTCAACCGGATTCTGTTTAGCACTATAGCTGTTCTCGGGAACGCCGGAAGATGAATTTAAGTGGAATGCCTACTTTCTCGGCTACATAGGACGTACATTGGCCTATATATCGTACTCCCTCGCGTGATATAGAGTAAAGAGGCTGATTGGTTATCTGCGATGTTAGTGTGACCGTCTGCAAAGTTACGTCAAGAAAGCCATATGTATAGAGTCGCCAAGGCTAACTGCATGATTTTCGCACCTCGTCGACTGATCTATATACAGGTTAGCGGCTGATCTTCACATCTCGGCAACTAATATTCACATCTCGGCAGCTGATCTTCCCGAGGTCAATGCCCTGGACAACACATTCCACCAGAAGGTCGGTCTGCCTCTAGACCCGTCATCGCGAGGCGCTCAGGTTCACTTCTAGAAGCAGGCAGGTACTACAATTAAATAAACACCGATGTACTGGACTTCATATGCGACTCACATATATGAGTGTGTGATTGTATTGATTAATTATGGCGAATTATTTTACTTTCATGAATTTCACTTTATACTTTGAATAATAATTTATAATCACTTTATAATTTCAATTCGCTTGGTGTGCGACTTCATGTGTGCAATTTATTTACGAGTTTATATAATTTTGCTGCCATTTTTTTACAGTAATCGTAAGGGGAACCAATCTATAGTCCTGCGGGTCGTTGGTCCTACGGGTCGCTGGTCCTACGGGTCGTTGGTCCTACGGGTCGTTGGTCCTACGGGTCGTTGGTCCTACGGGTCGTTGGTCCTACGGGTCGTTGGTCCTACGGGTCGTTGGTCCTACGGTTATTAGTAAGAGGGGTAGAGTGAATG